GTGGGGGTGCTGGGTGACACTTTGGGGGCTGTGTGACACTTTGGGGGCTGTGTGACCCTCTGGGGGGCTGTGTGACCCTGTGGGGGGCTGTGTGACACTGTGAGGGGGCTGTGTGACCCAGTGAGGAACTGTGTGGATCTGTGGGGGTGCTGTGTGACCCTCTGGGGGGCTGTGTGACCCTCTGGGGGGCTGTGTGACCCTGTGGGGGGGCTGTGTGACCCAGTGAGGAACTGTGTGGATCTGTGGGGGGCTGTGTGTCCCTGTCGGGGGGCTGTGTGACACTGTGGAGAGCTGTGTGGATCCATGGGGATCTGTGTGAATCTGGCTCCAGGTCCTTGGGCCAGCTTTGGGCGGGCAGTGTGATGGGAAGGGAAGGGAAGGGACAGAGCAGGAGGACCTGGCAACAGTCTGCTGCTGCACAACTCTGGTGGCCACGTGTGGGCTGGGTGGGGAGGCTGGAGAGCCCAGAGGGAGGGTGTGGAGCTCAGACAGGGAGCCCAGCTGGGATCGCTGGGACAGTTAGCTCTGTCAGGAGTCACCAGTGCTCTTGGGAAAAGCCTGGCTTGTGGCTGAAACATGTCCTCACACCTGACACTCTGTCCCCATGTGGTCAGTGCTGTGAGCAGCGGACAGGTGTCCACAGAGTCAGCTGGCTGAGCCAAGGTGTCCCTGGGGGCTGGAGCTGCTGGGGCAGGGCTCCAGGGCTCATGCTGGAGGAGGGCTGTGCTGCGGGGTTGTAGGACTGGGGACACTGGACCTCACAGCTTCCCTGTCCATGAGTGGACCAAGGAATCCACTGGCTGAAAGACACACCCCCAGAGACACTTGGGCTCATGCCTCCCGGAAAGCACTGTCCGCATGACTGTGCAGCTCAGTGGCCTGGCCCTCCCAGCCAGCGGGGCTGACTGCCCTGTTTGAGGCCTGTCCTGCAGGTCCAAAGTCTGCGAGTCTGCATGCTCCCTGTGCTGGCCTTGTGGCCTGGCCCCTCCAGAGGGCCAGGCCGGGTCTGCCCCAGGGCCACTCTCCCAGCCAAAGAAGTTTCCCAGAATGCACCCTGAGAGGACTCTGCCAGTTGCCTTGTGTCATACCCCCATCATGGGCCCCTGGAGAGAGGGGCACCAGAATGCCAGTCTCACCTTTGCCTTTGTGGCAAAGGCAGCGACCACTGGCCCTGCCCGAGGTACACCTGGTAGCGGCCCACCCTGAGGGGCCAGAGGGCAGGGCTGTGACCCCACCAGCGTCATGTTGCCCCAGCAAGGCAGGGTGGATGGTGGGCACAGGAGGCTGCTGTCTGTGGGGGTCTAGGGAAGCAGGACCTGATGTGGCCTCTTTTCTGGGGGCTCACCTGAGGCTCTGAGGCAGCCCGAGTCCCGGGGACCATGCTGGGAGCTCCGGGGAGCCCAGGACATGGGGGCCTGCCACCCATCCTCCCCATGTCCCCCCGTTGCTGGGAGGCTGTGTCATCACCACGTTTACACCCCTGCTGTGGCGGCTCTCCCCTTGGGCAGCTCCAGGCGCTTCAAGTCCTGAGTCTGGATGCTGTCACCTCAGGGCCAGAGGAGGGGCCCCATGCCCCCAGCTCACGGCAACCCGGGGTGCACTGGCACCTGGAAGACTTTGGTCAAGGTCAGCGGCTACGTGATGCTGTCCCAAAGGAGGGAGTTTGGGGGCTGCAGAAGGGATGGGGCCTTCAGGGCTGCAGATGAGGAGGGGCGAGCAGGCCAGGGGGAGAGGCGTCCAGCTGTGTGGTGCTGAGACGGGAGGGCCTGTCACTGAGGGGTCCTTGCCCGCCTGCTGGGCTCTGGGCTCCAGGAGCAGGTGGCTCAGTGTGGGAGGCTCAGGCTGAGGAGGGACGGGGGCCTGAGGTGTGGCCTCCTTCTCAGGGTGAGAAGTCAAGGGTCTGGCATGGTCTGGGGGCCATCAAACAGCACGAAGGGGGCTCACCAATGCGCGGACCCCTCCCCACAGCAGAGCACGCATGGTCCCCGTTGTGAGGCTGACAAGAGGCTGTGGAGCTTTTTAAAAAGATTTACACACATCTCACAGGTGCAGAGGAAGATTTCGCAGTTCCAGGTTTCGAGTCAACGCTCTGTGAAAAAGGAAGGAAGAGAGTCCTTTTTCTTCTCTGCATCAAGGAGAATGAAACTTGTCTTTAAGACGTTTGTGTTTGTCCTGGCACAGACACGGCCAGCTGGTGCTGGAGGCGGGCGGGCAGGCGGGCAGGAGGGGGCTCCGGGTGGAGGCTTCCGTGTCCCCCCAGAGGGAGGGGCTGTGGGGTAGGGGCAGGTGGCCTGCCCACACTCCACACTCTCTTCTCCTCCATGTTTAGTCCAGCCTGCTTACTGTTTCTACCCGGTATCCAGTCCACATTTACTGTCTCTGTTCCAGCCCAGTGCAGCCCAGCGCAGCCCAGCCGCCTGTCTACCAGAGCCTCTTCTTTTGGTTCTGCTTTGTTCTGTCCTATATTTACTCTGCTCTAGTCTATGAGTCTTGGCTGCAACCCCTGGCACTGATGGTGCGATCCCCTGAATT